AAAAAAAAAAACAGAAAACCCCCTCACACTCGACTCCAGCAAAAAGCGGGAGCACCCGAGGGACAATCCGAGTGATAACAAATGCTAGCAGCAGCCACCCGCCGGCAACGCTGTCGACGGCTTCCTTCTTGCAAGGTTGATTACAAGCATACTTATACCGGATTTTGGCCCTCTAGCGCATGCCAGTGTTAATTTGCCACTAAAAAGGGCGGATGAGTAGCGGAAAGAATGGTTGTTCCACTGGCGGGATCGAGATTTTGACCTATTGCAAGACAGCAGGATTATCGCGCCGTGCTATGCTCTCGGGGGTTCCTCATTACCAATCCCGTCAAATATGGAGGAGAATTCAGGAAATTTCTATTGTCCAGCGTTTTTTTTTTTCAGATTGTCTTAGGCCTCTAGAAATCGGCGAATAACAATAGTGATGGAGAGCATAAATACAGAGCAGCTATGCCGGATGACAGATATCGTCGATTTTGTATTTTCTTTACGGCGTAAAGCAATTGCAGATTCCCTGTCGTTGAACAGAATACTGCCAGCCAAGTATTTGCTTTAGAAGACAGTCCACATTTTATCAAAGCAATGTCAAAATAGCGACCAGGTAGCAAGATTATTGATGTCTTTTTACGCTCTGAGCGCTTAAGTAATTTTTATTAGATCAGCACACTTCACTTTCAGAACAGCCACAGATAATGCGGTCTAAACAGGGCTCAATAAAAAAAAACAAATCGAAAGATGAGACAAAAGAGAAATTTTCAGACATCCAATCCTTTTTTTTTTTGATAGTGATAACTGTTGAAGAATTTTCCCACACTGCAACAGTCCCGCATTTTCTACGTGGAACTTAGAGCTAGAAGCTGATATTGCCGTGGTGATTAAGAAATGAGATACAATTGTACATACCCATTGATCATCACAACACAGAATTGGTGATAACACAAAACACAGTGAATGGAAGAGTATTAAAAGATAGTGGACAGGAAAATCCCTTCAAACCTGATTCAATTGGTCCAAAAAAAAAACCGGGATGAGTAAGGTATACTCTTTAGAGAAGTGGTAGCTGTAAGAATTGCGAAGCTATAGCACTTTCTGTACAATAACTCTTCCCTGCCCCTTTAATAATAAGGAGCCACACTGTTGAAACTAAAGTAATGTGAGAACCGAGCTACTTATAGCTTCGGGGTTTTTGGAAGGGACATGGCAAGACAGGAATAAAATATGTGAGATCGAGTTGAAACTACCGGGACTTTTAAAGCTAGTGAATCATTCATCCAGATTTGGCACAAACGGACTAGACAAATGAATACTGCAAACACGTGGATAGGGAAGTAGCAAATGGACAATAGTACGAATTCCACGCAACCTTCATCATTTCACTCGTAACGGCAAAATTGGACCACTATTTGCTAGAAAACCAACACGTTTGTATCTGAAATTTAGAACACTGCTAGTACAGCGGCACGAATATTATTAAATTCTAATCTGGCACTGCGTAACAAAATCTCTTCATTGCTAACAGCATCACGCATCGTCTCAGTACTTGCAACGAGCCAATAAGAGAAAAAGGAAAAATAAGCCATTTGCGTTTTAATGCATGCTGCCCTTCTAAGGGAAAAGTGTAGCAATATATCCGAAGAAATCATAAGGAATTTCGTCGTTCATAGAAAGCCCGGAGTGTTTACGCGTAACTCACATATTAGTGAGTCAAACTTACAACTACGCTAAGTTCCTTTATGAAGAACTAGATGTCCCCAATTGTTACAAGTATTTTGCCTCCACTGCATGCCAACACTACCTCCACGAAGGCAATTTTTTCACATTTTCCCCCACCAAAAAATTGAAAATCGAAGAAACACTGCAAATAACGGCCTCTAGTCATGTTCAAATAAAGTTAGGAAACGGTACTTCGATTTAATTCACGTTCTCTGACACGCCGCAAAATCAATTCGGCAGCAAGTTTAGCCTCGGGCTGCACTTCTCGGGTAAGAAGAAATGTTTCCAGAGATGAAACAACTTCCGAAATGTACTCACAGCGCTCCATCACATCCACGTTTTTCAAGATTTCCAGAATTAGTGATATTTTCTGGAAAATAAATTAGTACAAGCAAGACTGGTTATCTCTGTTCGTAATCGATTTTGCCAAAGAATCCAAGATGCTTTTTGTATTGGTGTTAAAAATAACGCAAGCAAAAAATCACCTCCGGTTGGTTGGTGTCGATCAAATCTTGACACAGTATACCATAAAGTACTTTCAAGTCATTGTCATAAAAAAGAACTGTGATGGGACTACCAGTGCAGCAAAAAATATCCTTCAATAGTTTGACTGCACGCAGATCTGAGAAAAGTTTGAAAATACAGCTACCGGTTTAGAAAAGAGTTATAAATCTGGGTTTAAAATTAGAAATACAGAAAACCCGACTGTTTCCACACTATGCATAAAAATTAATAGAGTTTTGTGTTTCCCTGACACTGCCATGAGTGCCGCCACAGAGGAAAATGAAGAAACATTTTTTTCATTTTTTTGCTCCTTTTTAATTTTTTTATTTAATAAGCTCTTCAAAATTATGATACCTTTGTTGTCGGCCCTGCATCGATTCAACTCCACAGTAAGCAGCTGGCCAAAATCAATAGGAGGATAGAAACATAACGCCTCAACAACCAAATTTTCATCAGTCTCAAAATGGGCATTAAACGACAGAATGAATTGGAAAGCTTCAACGTATTTTTCCATTATTTGCACCACCTTGGTCACAAATTCCAAGGTAATAACATCTGAAAAAACACCGCGGCTCTGATTCGTCCCCACTGAACATCCCTCATTTTGAGCGACAACTCCACTACATTCTCAAAATAAAGAAAGACGTCAAAGCTCATGACAAAACAGAATATGCACGGATATCTTCCTATGCCACCTACGCATCCCGAGATCTGAGATTAAAAAGCTCCAGTTAACGTAACAGCTTACGAATCCCATGGCCAGTCCTGTCTCCAAGCCAGGATCACTGACTAATCCAGTTTCACTTCCGCTAAACAATAACCAACTGTTATTGACCAGTTATCACACAAAAACACTGCACGTTTCCGCCTCGCTTATTTCATTTCGCCCACTTCGGCTCGGTATCAGAGCCTTTTTGCAAATTTGGAAAAACACACAGCCACAAGAAGACTAAATGAACACTGTCTGAAGAAGATGACTTCAGCAGCAGAATAAAACAGACCGTAGTGGGAGACTGGGAATTTTTCACCGGTTGAAAATAACGATGCCAAGAGATCCAGCGATGATATTTCAGATTCAGTGAGTGGCTCTTGAAAATTATGCCCCAGAACTAATAACAAAGGAAGTTCTCCACAGAGCAGCACCGTTATGATTGATCGATCCAGCAGACAAAGTGATTTCAGAGCAGACAGCACCTTGCTACGTACTGACCATCGCTGATCCTGAAAGCACTTTGGTCATAACAGCATCGGTATTTCAGAATGTACCAGTCAAATTTAAACAAAAAGTGCCAAAAGATTTCCTCTCTACCTAGCAAAACGATTTTTAGAATTGCTTCTCAAATGCGACCATAAAACTTACAAACTGACAAAGAGAGACGAGTTTACGAATAAACGCATAATCATCGGAACGAAACTTTTGCAGAATTATCCGTACATCGGCCTTCCACTGAAATACGTCCAACAGTAACCCCGTATAAATACTCAACTTTATTAACATATTTTATAAGCAAATTCAAAGGCCTTAATCGCCAATGGATGTAAAACACAAATGAATGGGAATCGCAAGAAAAAAAAAGACATTTCGAGCCATTTCCGAAAAAATAGCGCGCGAGCACCGAATAAACGGCAAATACGAAATGGAGACAACGAATCCGAAGACTACTGGCAGCCCCACATCCTTTCACCCCTAAGCCGATGCTATAAGTGCGCAAGAATTTGGATTCACGTTTTTTATTTCATATTTTCCATCCTGATGTGATTTACAAATGTGCTCCGCGTCTCCTGCATTTTGGTGCAAAGAAGCAAGATTTTCACATTTCGTTACACGCCTGTCAAGCTGACCGCCATTCGGCTTTTTTCGAGCAGGCAAAACAGACAATCTGGAGACTTTTGGAAGGCGTAGCTACAGCAACACCATAACAGGCCCATGGTGGAGGAACAGTGAACACGAGGTACTGCTAAGTACAATACCTTTTAAGCAAATTCATTTCACGCAAAAGCAGTCTTTTACAGCAGATAAACCGGATGAAAATTTGCATTACATTTAACACCCCGAGCAGAAAATTCATTAAACATTTAACACACCGAATGAAAATTTGCACCGCATTTAATAACCCGAGCAAAAAATTTATTACATATTTAATACCTCGAATAAAGAGTCCGCTACACATTTAAAAGCCCGAATAAAAAACTTACGATACATTTAACACCCCGAATGATAATTTGTACCACATTTAACACCACTAGTAGAAAGCTACTACACATTTAACACACCGGATAGAAAATTTACTATACATTTAGCGCATCGGATGAAAATCTGCACTACATTTAACACCCCGCATAAAAAACTTGCACTACACTTAGCACCCTGGATAAAGATTTGCCTTATATTTAACGTCCCGGGTAGAATAATTGCTATACATTTAATACCTCGAATAAAAAAGATTACTGAGCATTTAACACCCGAGTAAAAAATTTATTTTACACTTAATACCCCGAATAAAGATTCCCCTTACATTTAACGTCCCGATTAGAAAATTTGCTGCACATTTAACACTCCGAATGTAAATTTGCGCTGCATTTAATATCCCGAACAAAAAATTTGCTGTGCATTTAACAACCTGCCGCATTCCTCTCCTTCAAGCTCCTTGTCAGTATTATTTGCATAGTACTTTTAACAAACAAATCTTGTAAGCAACAGCGACTGAAGCAGTATGTAGTCATTAACTTACCAGAAATGAAGAAAACTGTTGGAGAACACTAATCAGCTCAGCATCCTCGTTTTGAATGCACCAGTCTAGCTGCAAAAATCCCCCCCAGTAACCTTTATCACATTATTCGATTAAAAAACCCGCAGTGAACTGTTCAAATTATGTAGCAATGTCAACAACATCTGGCATGAGATAAAAGAATCTCCTTCCCTCACAGTTCGGTGGTATGTCTTGCCAAAGCGATTAGATGAAGCATAATGCGGAGTAAAGGCGATAAGGAAAAGAGGAGAACGGGAGCCACGGAAGAGTAGAGAAAGCCAAACTCTAGCATACGCTAATATGCGGGACCATGGCGTGAATCTCTGTATTTTTTAATGACAATAAACGTATCATCATATACAATGAACACTGCGACCGTACGAACAATCTGTGCGTGTTTGTGTGTTTTTATGTGCATGTTTGTTTGTGTACGTGTATTTGCACGTGTGTATATGTGCGTTTGTGTGACGGCCCCAGTCAGCTGTGCTACGCGCCCTAATTCCTCCAATTAGCACTTATCCCTTGTTTCATCTTCCGAATTTGCCAGAGTAGGCGTGCTAGTAATTTTCGCACCAACATTTTCACGTGACTGTGCGTAAGGCCTAGGAGTACGTTGGACGAATTTAAATTTGGAGGGTCATACGTGGGCGGAGAATATCGTTCTAAAATTTTCGCTTTCGAGCTTTTCTGATTTCCGAGTTAGTAGTTTTCACGCCAGAACACTCACATGACTGTACGTGAGATCTAGGCGGAGTCACGTTTAAAGACCCATCGTCAGTAAAGGATTCCCCCATTTATAAAGCTGATGCTTAGGTAAAGCTGAGAGCGAATAAGGTAAAGCTGAGAGCTCTCAGCTTTAACTGAGCATCAGCATCACAGAAAGGGAGGCCCACTACTGCAGACAGCCTTTCAGAAGGCAATTTCGATTCATACCTTTTTCATTTTGGCAAGTTCTTTATTTACTTTTTGCTTTTGCTTTCTCAGTTTTTATTTGCTTTTGCTTTTTTCAGCTTTTATTCACAGGTTCCGATTCTTTGATTCCGCTTTTTTTCCGCTTTTTCTTCCGTAAATTCAGCTTTTCTTCCATTTAGTTTCCTTTGCACTGCTATGTTGCCCCTTCCTCTTTACTACTGCCTTGAACTCCTGACTAGTACCCCTGGTCTTCTTTATCCTATCCCCAGATCCCGCCTTCGTGGCGGTATATTGGCATCCATCATTCACCACCTCCAACCGCTG